AAAATTGAAACAGGCCGGCATATAGGTTTGGATTTTAAAGACAGAGTCTGCAATATGTGCGACAATGACCATGTTGAAGATGAACAACATTTTGTCATAAATTGTCCTCATTACAAGGAAATAAGATCAAAACTTTACATTGTAGCTAATAAATGTATACCAAATTTTGACAAATTTAGTAATGAAAATAAATTCATATCATTACTAAGTAATGAGAAAATGTCAATTCCTTTAGCGCAATATTTAAAAAAACTGTTTTAATACAAGACAGCAGCACCTACATAAACTAAGCCAGTAACACATTCCTCGTATACCAATTTATACCCTTACTTTTTAGGTAGTTATTTTTCTTTTACTAATATTTGATTTGTAACCCTTTTCATCCCCTCCCGGGGATGTTGTGTGTTAATAAATAAATAAATAAAATATGATATATTGATGACTTATGACATTGATATTCTATTTCTACAAGTGCTCATTAAAAATGTACATGAATTTCATTGCCAACATTCCTGTTATCACAAAGTGAGAATATTTTCTCTCCATGATATATTCTTAACACTCTTTGTAATGTTTATTGCATGCATGCATGTATGGGATAGTGGTGGATGGGGGCTCACAATGCACATTACTATGATTGATAATACCTTACTTCATACTGCAATGGCTGTGTGATTTCACTTTTGCCACCAATACCTTACTGATTTCAAACCATGAATTAATCATTTAAAAACGGGTTATCCGGTCATCAACCAGTCCCACATTAAATATATTGCATAATATAACATCTCATTTCATTTTGCTACATGAATCTGAAAAATGTTATGTTCTTTCATAATATCTTCCAAATTTCAGACCCTGTTTTTTAAAAATACTCTAGATGATGTGCTAAAAATTGTTCTCCTGAACACAGGGATGCAAGTAATTGAGGAACTGTGATATTAAAAATAGTCTCAAAAGTGATAATTAGCTATTATGGGCTTTGATTTGTGAGATTGATAGTCATTCACCTCAAAAACCATGCTTCGATTTTTATGAAACTTATGAATGTGAAACATGTAGATAATGAATGGATTACATTTATAACATTAATAACAGCATGAATATCTGTGTTTAGGTCGGATGGTACTTTTTGTGTAAACGATGTGCCTACTGGTTCCTATGTAATAGAAGTAGCCAATCCTACGTATTCATTTGAACCAGCCAGGGTAGACATAACATCAAAGGGGAAAATGCGAGCCAGGAAACTGAATCATGTACAAAGTACATCTGTTGTGACAATGAGTTATCCACTAAGATTAAAAGCAAAAGGACAGACCAGCTACTTTCAAAAAAGAGAGCAGTGGAAAGCTACAGATTTTCTAATGAATCCAATGGTAAGTGCTTGTAAAACAATTGCAAATATTGTATTTTATTCTTGACTGACATGGCAGAATAATTATTTTCATAGCTGAATCACGAGTAACTTACAAAATTCGGTAATAAATTAATACATGCTGAACACCTGGACATGTGGATAGCCAATATTGATGGTATATATCAGTGAGTGTGTGAGAGACTTACCACCAGAGTTATCTATCTGATTCTATTATGATGGGATGTTTTTACAGTTGAGATCAGAAATATTTTCACATGCCCTTGCCACAAGATACAAATAAATCAAGTGCCACTACATGTTACAATATACTCAGGGTTTTTTCTAGAAAAAATGAACAAGAGGGAGCACACACAAAAACAACAAGCGACCTTTCTGTCAAAGCTCCTGCATCGGTGGGTGAAAGGTCATCCAGTCTCGAGAACTCTTGCTTCACAAGTCAGCTGACCCTTCATGTTAACTATATCAAATCTTACGAGCGTAGCTAGCACAGAAACAACATGGGAGGATCCACCTGGAAACTCCATATTGGAAGGTTTCTCTGCCGGTTTAATAATGTATCTATGTATTAAAATATTTTTGGAGTAATTTTAGTGTATTTGGTGTCCAGACACATTGTCAGCAGATTTCATGTTGTACGGCAGCTTGAGAAATATATTTATGACTTGAAAGTTCAATCAGCAATTCGGTAAGAGGGCACCAGCCGAGAGTATCAGGGCGCTGTGCCCCTATTCCCCAGTTTCGAAAAAAACCTGATATACTGATTGAATTCTTCCTTTCTAATGGTTCATTTCACAGCTTATGAGGACAAATTTTGGATGCAACAATTTAGGTTTAAAACAAAAGATATTGATACTATGTAGCTTTGTAGGAATATTTATGTAATTTATCCAATAATAGTACTTTATTTCAGACATACCCAGTACATACATGTATGTGTATGGTTGTGATGATATTGAACAATTCTAATTGTAAATTTATTTCTAGTAACCTTTCATTTCACCAGGTTCTCATGATGGTATTGCCTCTTGTACTTCTCTTTATACTGCCAAAAATGATGAACACTTCAGATCCAGAAGTTCAAAAGGTGTGTATATATGTAACCATAGGTACCTTATAATGTTTGATACCTATAGTTATACACAATACATATACATGTATATATCAAAGATGGAAGAGTTGGTACATCATCAAAGATTTTTTCTAAATACTAGGCAGCATTCTAATGTTTTTGTCTGCAAATAAATAAGCTTAGAATTCTAACTGAGAGTTAGCCAGCTAATGAGATCAATTTAATTCCATGTGGACCTCTCTCAGATTTGTTCATTTTGTAATGATATCTTCAATTCTCTAATTTTGGTGAATATTTTTGTCATTTTTGGTAAAAAGTGATATTTTCGACTTCTTGTTAAAAACCGCAAGTCCAATTGCTTTGATATTACATGTATAGGTACTACATGTGGACCACTCTCAAATTAGTTAATTTGTATGATATCTTCAATTCTCCAATTTTGATGAATATTTTTGTCATTTTTGGTGAAAAGTGATATTTTTGAATTCTTGTTGAAAACACCAAGTCCCATTGCATTGATACTATGCATATTGTTCATTTTCTAATGATATCTTCTGTTCTTTAATTGAAATGTGCATTGCTAACAGCGGAGCTATCTCAGCCGAGAGGCTGCTTGTTCAAACTTGTAATAATACAATGAACAGTTTCTTTTATGGTGCCAAACTTTATTAACATCACTCCACCCTATGTTTCCAACTCGCAGTTAACTATTACAGCGGAGCTCTTTCGACTGCAAAGTTGCTGGTTTTTCAATTTTTGTAACTTTTTTCCTGTTTTGTGTTTTTTGTACAAGAATGCTCCGGTAGTATTCATTGATAAATTGATTGATTGGTGTATTTTGTTTGTAGGAAATGCAGTCGTCTATGAATATGTTAACACCAAAACAAGACTTGCCTGATATGTCAGAATTACTCACTGGATGGTTGTTTCCTGGTGGTAAGAAAAAAGAAAAAAGCAAGAGTGGAAAAAGAAAACCATAAACAATGTTTAAATGCTCAGAAACATGGTATTGGTGGTGCATTCATCGATCAGACAAGTGCTACCATTTTCATTTCAGTCAATGAAAATTATTTCAGGACAAAAAAAATTGCTTCATTGAGTAGAAGTTGTGATAAATCTGTAAATTTGCTATGCAATGTACTGTGTTGGTTCTACTTTACAGTTTGTCAGGTCTACCAATAATTATTGTGATGTATTTCACAACTCTTCAGTTGAGTATGTATATCATCTACAGAAATGCTCAATTGTTTATCATTTAACAATTTAATACAATCTTGGAATGATGTTTACGTGTCATAATAGTTTTATTCTAAATCTTTTTTTCTGAAATCTTGAAAGCATACATTAATTCTATATACATTTGTATGGTTTACTGTGTTTACTTTTGGTGCATCTATTACATTGTGTGCAGTTGAAATATATTCTTTTTTTTTTTTTATTATCAGTGTATTAAAGGTTGCACATACAATTGTTAAGAATTTTCTGAAGGCACTGTATTCAGTGTTCTTCATCCAGTAATCTTAGTCAATTGTGTGGCAAGGTAGGGTAGGTTACCTTTTAATGAAATGTTTGATTCTGTCAGTTCTCATCCAATACAACACTGTTTAAAGAGTATGTACCGTAAAAGAATTGTGGGATTCTTCATTACGCAGAAATACAAATTTTTCTTTTATTAAATGTAAATTTAAAGAACAGTGGTCATTGTGTCATACATGTGCGACATTTGTGTTGATAAACAATGATTCAATGCGCTATCCTCATGGAAATCACAAGTACATATTTTGACTAAGGCACAACGTACTCTAATTACCGCCGGTGACTCTTCCAATCACCAAAGAAATTACATAGTTAAAGCTTGGTAACGTCTCAGTTTATACTCATCTTCGCAACGGTCCTTCGTATGGGACCCATATCTCACGAATGCGTGGCATGATGGCCATCGCCTTTAATGATTATGGGCATTAAAAGTTTACTACAGATGGTACTATTACAATTTTAGTATCGACGAATCCTCACATTTTTCTCTGAAATTTATATATCATGTAGGACAGGTATTTTGTCTTTTACATTGTGATCATTTTGCTTTGAGACAATTTATTACCATCACAATTGAAAATCAAGCCATGAATAGACAATTGCATTTCTGTTTTTAATTCTGTTGTATTTCACTGCTCCACAAGATTGTGTCGTTTTTGCCCTCATTCATTTCTGTTATTCTCGGATGCTTTCAGCTAGGCAATGTGTTCAGATTTACTTTTAGGTAGGCATACATATCCTGGTAATTTTGTACAAGTCTTTCAGTAGAAGAATCAAGACCAGATTATGTTTTTAATAGAATAATAAAACACTACCTTTTTTGTGCAGTACACAATTCAACATTTTTAACCTGTAGTTAGTTAACCTGAACTTAATCCTTTAATCTATTCTTAAAATGCTGTATTTAAACATTGACAATCATATTCCAAAACAAGCCATTGAGAATGTCACAGCCACTTCTATTGTACAAATGTAACAAATGAAAAATCAGAAATTATTTATTTGATGAATTTTTTGTGGAAATATCTGTTAGTGTATGTTTCAGTTCTATGCAGTGTGAGTGTACATGCATGTCTAGGATTGCAAGAATGTTCCACATGTGCCAAGTGTATTTGGTTATTACTAAATTGTATGTCTCAAGTCTATGATATGAAAGTAACAAATTGTATGTGTACCAGGGTTGGGCAAAAATGTACCTGGTAATTTCACAATGTGCATTTAAGATTTAAGGCAAATTGTGAAGAAAAATGTGAAAATTTAGTATGTCAATCAACCAAAATGGTTGCCAGTCAGCAATCTTCAATTATGAAGTTGCATCTGTGAGCAAAAATAGTCTTGAGTGTATCGAGTATATGCATAATTTGACAACAATTTGAGTTGCCAGTATATTGTGCCTGTACCAAGTTTTAATACACTTAATGATTCAATTAGGAACTTTTGATATACCAATTTGATTCTGATCAGGGAAAAAACATGGGCACTTGTGTATCAACTATGCACCAACATTGACTAACACATGAACATAAATGACTGAACTACAGCAGTCCTAAGCAACCCATGTGTTTGGCACTAGATCGGACAGTTCCCTCAACTACACACAAAATATTTGACACAGTTGGTGACTCGCAACCCATTTTAATTCCATGCATGTAATATTAACATTAAAATATCAATTTTAATACATGCATTTATTGTATACTGACAATATATCATTCATAAAGTTTGAATTCTAAACCATAGATAAATAGTTTCAAAGTTTCCTAAATTGAATATAATAATTTAATTCATTTGTTTTATTGACATATACATATATTGGGATATTTTTTGGTCATTCTTCAGTAAATCTGCTGCTCAGTTCACTCGCATGTGATAAACAAAATCTTGTCAACTGAACTTGAAACTGCTGCATTTTAAGATCATTCTGCCAAAAAAAATATATATTAAAAGTTTGTTAGTAATCTGTTTTGAATGCAAATTATCTTTTGTAACACAGCTGTCTTAAATAAGCTAATAGGCATTTTAAGAATTTCTGTGTTCATGTCATCAAATTACCGATAATAAGCTACACATATTCACAGCGGCAATTGATAGGCTAAAACTCCCAATGACTTGTTTTTGGTATATAAACCACAAGTGAGGAACTAGTATAAGAAACCACAAGTACACATTTCTCACAAAGCTTAGTTTGTTCTGCAGTCTATCCTGGATCCCATACAAATTCAGAGGCTATTGATACCTTGGTGCTCTCCAAAATGTAAGATTTGTTCATAATGTGAAGGCATTTTGAAGAAATGTTTCCTTGAAACTGGGTGTCTTGAGAAAACTATACTTACCTGTTTACCAACATATAATGGTAAGTTATCTTGTTGAAAGTGAGGTGTTGGCTGTACACTTAAAACTGAATATCCTGCAAAAGATGACATGCTTTAATAAATTAAACTGTTGCACTTGAAACTTGAGTCATTCTAATTGAAGGGGGTGGTGGTGTAAGAGGCAATGTATTGTTTACACTACGTGACTTGTTACCTTGAAACTAAAAAAATATTGTCTAAAATCACTGCATAGAAACAGGCAAACCACTGAATGTAAATGTATATAAAAGTATATAACAAGCTGTGCTCTCTGTTCTTGAGAGGACGTGGGTCGCCATTAATTAAAAACAACTTGAATCAAATTTAGTGATGGCAATAATGATGTGCCGATAGTTTCATCATACTTCAATTTGAAAGAAAGATCATCGAATTCCTATCTTGAGCAGATGGGTTTTTTCTATCAATTGTATGTCACAGTCATCTGGTGTTTGTGGCCTGGGAATACTGAGAAGTGGGGGTAGGGTGTATGGAATCACCGTCCCTCAACACCATTTGAGGGACGGTGATGGAATAGACTCAATAAGTGCACTTATTTATTGATTAAGAACTAGCTCTCTGGCATTCATCAAAGAAGTGCTCACACATTGGTTAGCAGAGGATGTTCCACATACCCTTGATGTTCTAAGGTTGCTGTTGATCATCGGTTTTAAAAAAAAATGCAGAAATGTACATTGGGAAGCTGGGATCCAGGGATTTTTTATTCATTTTGATTGGAAGAATACCTTTTGATTACACTACTATTAAAAAACTGTGTTTTTGGTTTAGAAAGGTTTCACAACTTTTCTTTTGAAAACCCAGTTCACACACACCAGTTGACTTGGATACTGAACACATATATCACTGAAATGTTAAAACACTGACCATATCTCGCTGTAACGGATTCTTCATACAACATAATAGCTAGTACAGCATCTTCCTCTACTACCTCACGTCTTAAACTTAGTTTTGCATGAGCAGAAGCCATACAGGCACTATAATAAAGCAAAGGTTAGGCTAAGAATGTTTGTACCTGGTATCTGCTACTTTGTGCATGTACAGTTTGAATGGGCCATTTTTATAAGTATTGTAGGGCATGATAACAAGTGCAGATGTATATGATAAAGTGCTTTATCAGCATAAACCACAAAAATCCAATCTTGTATTGTTACATTCTTTAATTCATAGATCACAAGTTTACAATTTCCGTAATTAGTCCAATGTCAGATTTACTTTGTTTATTTTGAGTGGAATGAGTAGGTGGTCAATCATTAGACTAAAGTTTAATAGCTTAAACTTTTCAGCTCATTGACAATGCTTCTTTCTGTTTTGCATGTAACTCAGAGTAGATGTAGAGTAGATTACCCTTACCAGTAAACCTATTTACAAGATTTAATCTACCAGGGGTATAAATCTTCACAAGTGATGGCAGATTGTACAGTATGTTGTTGTTCATATATTATATAACACCAAATCACCTTACAATTTACTAGTAAACTAGAATCAATTTTATTTGTCAGGACTTACATTGCTTTCATAGCTGATTGGGGGAAAGGTGTGGCATGTACACCTGAAGACCTTACTCTTCTACTGCCAACAAAATAACCTTTGATTAAATATTCAGCTGATGAAGTGAATTCTACATGCATTTCAGACACATAGTCCAGAAACTGTATAAAGATATAATGTTTAGACAAGCACTGGTTGAATGCAATTTATCTCAATTGCATAGCGACCAAAATAGTCACCAATGTGATAACAACTTTTAAAAGCTGACTAATAATGTTTCTCTGACTGCCAAAAAGTGACTGTTTGAAAATAACTTTGCAGATTTGATTAAATGCTGTTTGCAAAATGTTCAGGCCGACATTGTCATGTTTTGTGTAACTACAGTTCTAGTTTCCTACAATTCATTGTGAATCGCATGTACAATGATTGCATGATTTCAGAAAGAATGTTTGGCCTAGCCATTAATTACCCCAGTAAACCTATTTACAAGATTTAATCTATAATTACCTTCTTGAAATCTTCATAAGTAATGATAGATTGTACAGTATGTTGTTGTTTATCATCTAAAACTGCAGCAGTTAATACTTGGTTTATTAATGTCTGTTGTGCAGTGTCATCCCTTGTAGTATCTGGATTGTCACATACATATACCATACCAAATGTACTATTACATAAACAAATTAGCAATTATAACCAATATAGCTGAGTGAAGCTGATCTATGTGTTAGTTTTAAATGATTCTCATAACTAAAATAACTTTTAATTTGTTCGCTGTTCATCCAAACCCTATTTTCTTTTTATTTTAGTGGGGATTTCAGAAGACCACTTTCCAGGACTCTTACTTTTCAAATTCTAGGACTTACCAGTGTATTCTAGGACTGTAAAAGCTCTGATTAAGTAACAATATTTGCATGTAAATTATTTCCTCATGAATGTGCTTGGTGAATGAAATATTATGCCTGTGACATTTGCTGCTGATTAATTTTCAATATATATTTTGCCAAATATACATACCATGTACATGTAAGTATTTAATGTCACATTGGTGTATATGAATGTAAACAGATCCGAATGAAATGTTTAAACCTGTATACAACCAGGATGGATATTAGCATCACAAACTGTGTACAAGATATACTTACTCAGCAAATGTGTTGGGTATGTTACCAAGGTCCTGAAAAAAAAAGTGGAAAAATGTTTTATTCCAAATGAAGCTTGACATATTTGCATGATCTATTTTTTAATCTATAATTTAAGTTATAAAGTGTCATACAAATTTGTTCTTCTCCAATCCTCATCCAATTCTGTAATATTACCTGATTTTGGAATATTCCCTTAATGCCTTTATGATTTCCAGTGCTAGGGTATGTATAGGCCCATATATTGCATAGTATTGGTAACACCATTTGTTTCTGTGGTGCTGCATCACTAAATTTCCTGGGAATATCAACTGATATGGAACTGTTCTCCATGACTGAAATAATAAAATATATCAAAATTATCAAGTCTTCATCATTTTTGCATATGTTTACATTTAAAATAGTTTTATGACATCATGTGAGGTAATTGAAGATATACAACTCATTGATCTAAGTGTGATGTTCACCTTTGAAATTAGACAGTTTTCCCACCAGCATCCTTTAATTGTCCACTAAATTACTATTTCTTTGTTCTGAACAGTCTGCATTTCTCATTTTTGTACTGATCAATGCCTATTTACTAGGAAAGGACTGTGCCTTTGTTCAAAATTTATTAAGTGGATTGTTTTTCGAATAACCTTGTTCTCACATATGATATAACTCCTGCTTATGTATTTGTAAGGGTACAATAACTACCATACACTGACCATGTAGAAGCTTTTCCCTGGTATCTTTTCTATAGTGACTTAAATCACCAAGTGAACATATACCATTTTTAGCTAGCAGCAAAGATCCCCCTGTGTAATGGAATTAAAAGTATTATTTTTATGAATGATAGATCTTAGCTACTGCATTGTACATGTACTGCTAATACTAATAGCGAATCTCAATAGAGGTAAACATAAACCAAATATTTTATTTATTATAATATTGGATACAACTAAGTTTGACCATATAGACACATCTCTGTGATTTATATAAAAATATGAGAAAGCATTGATAAATATAATAATAGTAATATCAGACATAATTATATTCAAGTCTTAATACAATTAAAAAGCAAGAGTACCCAATATGAAGACTAAATTTGATAACATCGCACCATATAGGAATAATCTAGTAAATATCGGCAGTTTTCCAATGACACTAGAGCAACCCTTGGAATTTTCCCCCATAAAACTTTGGATGCAACATTTTCCTGTTTTTTTATGTATTTTCTATAAATTCAAATGGCTACCTAGCTATGCTCGTGATAAAATTTATTTTGTGAAAGTCGCCAAAAAGTGGCTTTGGTGCACACAGGGGTGAATAATTTTGTGGTTATTGAACTAACCATCAATTGTACATGCTCCAGTACCATGGTTATCTTTTGTAACTGATGTGAAGAGTGAAGTACTTGCAGAATGTTGTATGTTACGCTTACAGAATGATGCTCCAAATGTTAACAGTCTGTGTATCACTAAAGTATCACAACCAATAGCCAATACATGAAGACATCTTGACACTTTACTTTTCTATTAATATAGATCAGTGCATAAGGGTAATTCAAGGTAAATTAATGACATAGTCCCTGTTTGTATCATAGGCGCAAGATATCTTACAACTACCAAAATATATTTTTAAAAACAAAATATGACAGCCAATCGGCCATTTTGAAACCAATCTGAAAAATAAAAGACCCCATAGTGTTCAATTTGTGTACAAAGTTTAAACTAATCTATCCACGCACAACTGACATCTGGTTTCAGAATTGTGAAAATGAGTGATTTTGATGCATTTTTGATCAGGTTATACACCCACACAGAGATCAATCCATAAGTCCCCCTTTTTGACTACCTTTGAATGAGGATTAACAAGTCCTTGTTTGTTCCATAGTAATTAAAATTGAAAAAAAATAAGTCAACTATTTTGAATGAAAACTTGAAATGCTAATAATACTGGTATGTTAAGTTAATATGAGGGATACATATGTAGTTGTATGTTTGAAGGCAATTTTAAATTTGTTAGTACAAAATTGTTGTCATTTCAAATCTGATCTGAAAAAACAAATGACATGCATCAAGTAGGTCCCATAATGTTGAATGTATGCACCAAGTTTGAATGAAATCCATCAACCAATACACAATATATTTATCTATCCTAAGATGTAAAATGAATATATATGTCTGAAGTTTAAAGTTCCAGGCATCGCCAAGATACAGGTTGGGATGAACAAATTGAGGACAATCCATTCAAATTCCTGTTTTTGGCATAGGCATATATCAAAATATTTAAAACTGAAATCTTACCTGTTTATTGTTTTTTGGTGTTTCTACAAGACTGAGAAGCATGCCTAGTTTCAATCTGAAATAGGTGCCGGGTGGTGTTATATCACCTCCAAATATGTAAGCTAAACTAGCTACAAAGCTCCAACTAGATGATTTTCTATCTGTACAAAGTGGTACAAAATTTAGAAACTTTAACTATTAATGCAACATTAATATTTCCTTGGATGACAACTCATGTTAATATTATCTCAACAATTTCTTTAATTTTGCTGAATGAATAAATAATAAGATTTAGAAATATAAATTGTGCACAGAATAACTAGTAGGTCATTAATAGAGTAGCTTACCGTCATATAAAGTGAGCACAGAAGATGGCATTGTAATAGAACAGTTACCTTGGTTACATATCTGTGAATTATATCATTTTATTAATTCTCTGTAACAAAAAGGCTTGTATATGTTTCCATGTGTTCAAGTGGTTCATAATGCAAATAATTTTTTTCATAATTCTGTAAACCACTTTAGTTACAAGAATGAAGACATTCAAAAAACTTTGTAGCAATGAACATTTCAAAGAATGACATGCTCAATAATATTCAACCAATCAGCATCAGGATAAAAACTGGAGTTAAATTTTTATAAACAAATATTTGTCATGATAGTTTATTAAAAACTGCACTGCATGCTTGCATTTCACAATATCATTTTTTTTTATATGGGGGATTTTTTTTATGATGGCGTTGCAAGACAGCGTTAAAAGTGCACTAGGTTATACATCGCTTTGAGAATACCAACAAGAGGTAGTTGATGTTTGTGTGAGTGTTTAGTGAGTGTTGGTCTATCGAATCACCAATTGCCAACTAAATTTTGTGACAGGCAAGCGCCTTCTGGCCAGCTTTGAACAGTCTTCTATGCCAGTTATCTGATTATTCTATATTTGACTCACATACAATGCAAATGCATTCTTGAATCCTCTACACTATGACAGGTGTGATGTTTGTTTTTGTATGTGTCCTAGCAATCACTTGCCCGCCATTCACAATCATCTTGAAAGGAGATAAACTTATGTATGCATGCTCCGCCTATCAAATACTTGTATGTAAATTACACCAAATTTTGATGTCATTGAAATGCTCATAAATATTAATAGCAAGGGAACCTATGCAAAGAACACAAGACTCTTGTTTGTTTCGTGATAACCTGGCTATCGCCACTTATACACTCACATAATTAACAAATAAACAAACAAATAAGAGACTGTTTGCAAGTTTAGTTTTCTTCTTACCTGCTCAAGCTTCTTTGAGTCCATGTAAATATTATTTGCCTATTAAACAAAATCACCAGTTATTAATATTAAAATAATTACTGTCACTTATATATGCTGCTAACAATATATATTTTACCAGTAATATGTATATGTCTTTAGTGTGGGTATTTAGTGTCATTAATAACAGATATCTCCCATCTAAGATTCAATTAGGGGTTCCTGAATTGATAGCGTTTGTGCATTCATCATTTGTGTGTTTGCGTATATCGTGTGACCTGGGGTCAACAAACCGGAAAGTATGACAGATTTTCAATGTTCCATACGTGCAAAGTTGCAGTGCACCGAATATCACAGTTTCCAACTCGCAACGTAAAATTCCCCTGAAATAAAAGTGCCATCATCTTTTAACTAACTCAAACCAGCCTCTGAAAATTTACACACTATTTTGCCTAAGCAGGAATAGCGAGCATGCAAGTCACGGTCATATTTTACTCACACATGTACTATCTCTATTTCAGTTCATTTTCCTTGAAAAATCATCTTTTTCAACTGGAAATCCATGTTTCTCAGCTGTCTTAAATAGTTCTTCTAGCTGCCCTTGTTTGTACCCACCCACACTCACACCGGTATCTTTAAAAAACTGTTTAAAATATGCCGTTGACTCCTTCAGGGTTGCATGTCTATTCTTTTGACTTTTTATATTTCTGTCCTACCCTTGCCCATTGCTAGGAAGGCTACGCATGTGTTAATTGAATTACATAGCGTCTGACGGTAATTCAGGAATCGGAAAATCATACAGTCAATGATTTTTTTATGAATCACAAGATTTCAAATACATCACTTTTTTAGCTCCGCTGTCGACTTTGTCGAGCGGAGCTTATCATATGAGTGATTGTCCGTCGTCATCCGTCATCTGTCGTCCGTGTCAATATTTTACTTTTTCGACTTCTTCTTGAAACTACAAGCCTGAATGCTTTGATACTTGGTGTATATGTACCTTAGTAGACCTCTCTTAGTTTGTT